CCCCACCACTGTCTATGCTGTCCCAAATTTTGAACCGATAAACAAGACGAAAAGCAGTAAGTAAACATTAGACATCACCAATTTTTGAGCTGCTCTTGTTTGATCGAAAAATGAGATTTCAACTTGATTCTTATACACCAATGGCCCCAGTGTGCAGGGCGTATTTTCGCAGCAATGAGACCCGATCCAAGAATTCTAAAGTTCACAGTCCGGGCTCAATAACCACTAGGCCACGACCGGCCATATACAGTAATAAGAACATCAGAGAGAAGTATGATAACTAGATGAAGACTCACCTATGTTATCTACATACTGCCAGTAATTGATCAAAGAAGCTTCGTAGGCATAGTAGAACCAAGAAATGTACTTTATCCATCGTAGGACGATAGGCATTGACCTGGAAATCAATAGACGTTCATTATTGTAGGAAGAAAAACTTTCACTACTTACATATAGCAAAATTTGCAGCAAACGTGTCATGTTGTCTTTTTGCAGAATTAGATATTCGGAAATATAGTATACCTCATTGCCTACAGGTAGCATATAGGTCGGAATATTCCAAAAACATTAAATATAAAGTATTTATATTAAATATTTCTTAAACAAAAAAATAATAATAAAGTTTAAATTACAGTACATTTAAGAGAGGGGTACAATTTATTCAGTCAATCTAATAAACCAGTTTTATTGCAAATTAAAACAACAGGAGCATCTGTATTTTCAAATTCAAAGTGATTAGTCTCTGAATCTACAAGTATTAGGAAAAATATCTTCGCCAATATAATAAAGCTATGTAGGGCTGGCTACTGAACTTTGAAAAAAAAGGAATCAAACAAGATAGGGATGGAAGTGGACATATCACTTGATCCGGCTAATGATCACATAGCAGACTAAGCTGTTTAGACTTCACACGGAGAATAAAATCCCTACATTACTGGCTTCCCCACTTTGTCTGTCGAAAACTTCCTGTTTAAATAGAATCTCAGTTTTTTCATTATACCTTTCCTTTAGTTAACTTTAGAATACTACTTTTATGGCTATCTTACAATAGACTAACATTTTATGATTGGAAATTCTGGTTCTATTTGTTTTGCCAGATAAAAGAAAGATGATGATGAACATAAATAACAAATCTCGGTTTTGACTATCCGCTGGTTTTCGACTTTGGTATGCTCTGGATAGCTAAAAAGCGGCATACACACCAGAGGTAGAGCGACTATACCAGGTAGCTTTTCATATCTAGCTGTAGAGAAGGAAATCCGGGTGACTTTTGTATTGCTTTAATACGGCTGTCCGTTCCATCCCTACATATAGAGCGCTAGCACACTCTCCGATAGTGAATACTTTTGTTCAGTTCCTGGAGGCACATTTTTCAGTGAACATAATACTCAATTCTCTGACATGGTGTGTCTAAAAGCATTCCAGAGGTGTTGAATAGGGATGTAGGTCAGGATATCTTGGTGGTCAATCCATGACTTTCTCTTATTCAAGGTAATCATTAAAATCTTAACTGTATGACAGCAGAGAATTACCATGCAGCAGGACAAAATATGGACTGATCAAACACACTAAAGGCTCGTACACGTATCACTATGTCGCTACTTTATTCCTTGGGAGCAGAACGAAATGTGGACGTCACACTTTTCTCCCCATGTCAAAAATGAAGAATACTCAAAACAACGATGTTGATATAAATGTGTTGTTTACCTCTGGCTCTTGAGACACCTGCTGACTACTGGTAGAAGCATAAATGTCCTAGCGTGTCTGGACATGATTACAGCTAATGCAGTCATATGAATGATATTACTACTCCCTATATCAGTTAAATATGCGACATTACTTGGAAATTCCTAAAATAAGCCCTGCTATTGTATTCAATTAATGTCAGCATAATGTAAGCAATATAAAAATGTGTGGTCCAGGGAGAAGGTAGAAAGATACCAACATGAATACTCCTGGGACAATAGCAAAATTTGTGGTTGAGGAAGATAAGATAGAGAGATATCAACATGAATACTTCCAGTGCGATATAAAAATGCGTGGTCCAGGGAGAAGGTAGAAAGATACCAACATGAATACTCCTGGGACAATAGCAAAATTTGTGGTTGAGGAAGATAAGATAGAGAGATATCAACATGAATACTTCCAGTACGATAGAAAAATGTGTGATCCAGGAATAAGAGACACACATAGATATACCACAGGGATTCCTCTGGGACAATAGCAAAATGTGTGGTGCAGGGAAAGAGAGAGATATACCAGCATAAATATATACGGGTCACAGTAAAATGTGTGGCCAGGGAGAAGAGACATACATACCAGCGTTAATAGATCCGAGGGAATAGCAAAATATGTGTTCCAGAGAATGCTTAGCGTATCTTAGAATTGTTCACACATTGAAGTAATGCAAATATAGTAAAATATTCAATAACGTTCTTAGCTTGTCTTACAGTCACTCATAAGTAAAGTGTAAACTTTTAACCAAGTACTTAACATTTCCCACTATCAGTCAAAAGTCGACAAAGTGAAAAAATATAAAGCATTTAATAGAATAGCGTGTAAAGTATCTCTCAAGAAAAAAATGCAAATAAAGATATAACATATGTTCATAAAGTGCAAAAACAGTAAAACATTTAATAGAGTGCTTAGCATTTCCCGCAATTACCCAAAAGTCACCACAATAGAAAAATAGTAAAACATTTAACAAAGTGCTTAGTGTATCCCACAATTATTCACAAGTGGCACAATCCAAAGATTGTAAAACATATAAGAAAGTACTTAGGGCATTCCGATTATGTCGTGTGGCTACAGCACACTCAGCCAATGAGTTCTTCTCTAAGCTTATGTTGTAGGGGTGTTGTACAAATAGTCAGTGAGTTCTCCTTACTCACTCTTAATAACAGGGGAGTCATTTGGTGGGCCATTTTTTCGTAGTTTCTTCTTGTGCAATTTTACCTGTGCCATTTTTACTGGCCACCTCCAAAATCACTCAAACTTTGACGTAAAATTGATGCCACAATAGAAAAATAGTACAAAATTAATAGGGTGCTTAGAATATCTTATAATTACTGATAATTCGACATAGTAAACTGTTAGAATAACTATTAGAGTATTAACTTGTCTATTTGACTTTAGATCCATTCGTTTAAACTTAGCTTACAGGTAGGTTATAATCAGGCTAAATTCAATTTATTATTAATATTTGTCAAATTCTATATAATTAAAGATAAACTTAATTACTTTATATGAACATAAAGTAGTGACAAACAACTATATTTGATTCTCAAACGTTAGGCTTAACAGTGTTAGCAGTAGGCTACTGGTATTAAGTGTTGCGTATTTATTTCTAGGCTACAAATACAATAGTTAAGACTAGTGCAGGAGTTAAGTGTCCATAGTTTTTTAGGTGTGATGGATGCAATGAGTAGGATTTATTTGGGAACGAGGGACTAGTATGTACTTTTAACCTTTAGGGAAGCTAGTACTAGTGAAGATGTGGAATTTGTATGTAGAGCTTGTAAGTTGGAGGCTATCCCAATTAAAGTTGAAGCAATAGATAAAGATAAGTGTAAACTGTGGAAAATGGTAGCAGGATTTCAAATGGAGGTTAAGCTTTTACATCAAGGGATAAATCAGCTAACAGCGACTTTCGGGAAATTAGAAAAAGTACTATTGGAGTTAAAAGTAGTGGAGTTAATTTTAATAAGCCTATTCTATTGAGCTACAAAGTTTATCCCTTGGCTTGTGCAGATGAGGAACTATTGGAGGAAAGAAAAACAAAAGGGTCAGAGAAGGATATGGGTGATACACTTAAGGAGGTTATAGTTTTAGGTGATTGCTTGACAAAGCATGTGGATGATAAACTTAAGGACGTTATAGTTTTAGGTGATTCCTTGACAAAGCATGTGGATGATAAACTTAAGGACGTTATAGTTTTAGGTGATTCCTTGACAAAGCATGTGGATGATAAACTTAAGGACGTTATAGTTTTAGGTGATTCCTTGACAAAGCATGTGGATGATAAACTTAAGGACGTTATAGTTTTAGGTGATTCCTTGACAAAGCATGTGGATGATAAACTTAAGGAGGTTATAATTTTATGTGATTCCTTGACAAAGCATGTGGATGATAAACTTAAGGACGTTATAGTTTTAGGTGATTCCTTGACAAAGCATGTGGATGATAAACTTAAGGAGGTTATAATTTTATGTGATTCCTTGACAAAGCATGTGGATGATAAACTTAAGGAGGTTATAGTTTTAGGAGATTCCTTGACAAAGCATGTGGATGATAAACTTAAGGAGGTTATAGTTTTAGGTGATTCCTTGACAAAGCATTTGAATATGATAGTCTCTGAGGTACATAGGGAGAAAAGAATTAGATTATGCTACCCATGGGCACAGGTGGAGGATATAACAGACAGAGCAAGATATATAATAAAGGGGCTAGCAATGATGCAGTTTTGTGGTGCATGTAGGCGCTAATGATGTAGGGAAATGTAGATCAGAGGAGCTAATTAATAAGTACAAGGGGTTGCTAAAGGCATTTAAAGAAAAAAGCCATAACTTAATTGTGTCAGGGATAGTGCCGAGAATAATTGTGGGGATGAAATTATAAGTAGATGACTAGGGCTAAAGGCTAGGCTTAGGTTAATATGTAAGGATGAGCAGATTGGCTGGTTGGACTTGTGGGATCAGTTCAATGGGAGAAGGAAGCATTTTGGAATCGATGGTTTACATTTGAATAAGATAGGGGCTGGCTTGTTTGGAAGGACTATTAACTCAGCTATAAGAGAAGGACTAGACAGTGGTGAGGGCAAGGATAAACTAAATGCAAAAACAAAAAGATACAGAGAGATGTTTAGCATAAGAAATTAGTATAGAAGTAGTTATAAGGATAGGCTTAATTGTTAATTTTGTAATGCTAGAAGTATGAGTAATAAAATAGATGATTTTAGGCCACTGGTAGGAATGGAGGATTTTGATATAATGGGAATATCTGAAACATGGTTAAATGTAGATGATTTTGATGACAGAAATTTATTTGAAATGCAGGGTTATAGGTTATTTAATAGGGATAAGAGTACTAAAGAGAGAGGTAGGAGTAGCTTAATATGTAAAACGTGAGTTTCATCCTGTTGAAATTGAGGTTATCAAAGATAATAACAAGGAGAGTGAATACATTTGGGTTTCTATTAGCAGATATAAAGGGAACAGGCTTTTAGTGGGAACTTGTTACAGACCACCAGATGATACTGATGAAAGTAGTGAGAAACTTTACAGTGAGGTTAAGATTTCAGCTGTTAAAGAGGTCATAATTATGGGTGTTTTAATTTCAGACATATAGATTGATAAATGCTGAAGCCAAACCATGAGGGAGAAAGATTTTTTGAAACTGTTCAAGATGGTTTTCTTCACCAATTGGTCAAGGAATATACTAGAAATAATGCTATTTTTGATTTACTTGTAATACAGAAATGGTTGAGAGGGTCGAAATTGGGGAGCTTCTGGGTGCAAGTGATTATGGCTGTATTAGGTTTGATGTTTTACTGCATATGGAGATCAACAATAATGATATTCTGGTTACAAATTTCAAAAAAGCAAATTTTAAAGGGATGCCACAAAAATTATCTGTTGTGAATTGAGCAGCTGAGATATTTGGAGATATTCAAAATAAACATTCTTTATAGAAACAAATGGGTGGCTGCAAATAAAAAAACAGGTTTGCTCACAAAGGGTATAGGAGATAAAATTAAGGAAAAGCATCACAAGTTTAAGAAATTTTAATTGACTGATAGGATGGGATATTTAAAAGATTATGGAATATCAAGAAAGTTGGCCAAACAGGAAATTAAGACATCTAAAGGGATGTATGAAAAAAGGTTGGCTGAAAATGTAAAAAATCAACAGTAAGAATGGAAGTAGGACATTTGAGGGATGATAAACGGAGGCTTGATAAAGCAAATGAATGCACTATTCATATCCATAATGACCCAGTGCAGGTAATAAGACAACAAATCACTACCGTAAATTTACGCTTGCCATTGATGTTTTGAATAAATATTGACAAAAGTAATCAACTCAGAAAAGGTTTCTAAGTATGTTTATAAACTTACTCAATATTTAAGTAAAATCCCGAAAACAACTGCAGCGGAGTTATAAGGAGTGGAAGAACCACACTGGCTATTAATGAATTGTTCGTGACGCAAGCTATGACGTATCCTGCAAAACAAAATAGAATAACATTCTATTCTAATTAACTAAATGCATGTTTTATGAGAAACTATGACTAGTTAGTCTTGTTATATTGCATTGCCACTACTACTTCAAATAACAATATAAATAAAGTTGACATTATTGGCAAAAATATGTACTTTTGTGATGTATTTTTGATATATTAAACCTAAGTTAAACGCTAAATACTCAGTTCCAGTCAATATCAAAATAATATATTATATACAATAATAGTTTTGTACTTTAGGGCTTCAGACAAAACCTAATGGGCACTATTAGTTTTTAATCGCTAATTTCCCTTGTCTAATAAAAATGTAAAATTTTCCATGTACAAACCAAACAAAATTCAAATAGTATGTGAAGTTATACCATTTAATACTTAAATCTAGAATGGTAATAAAGTACAGGATAATTCTGTATCTCTCATAAACGTACATAGGAGCAAGGCCAGAGGGCGCTCGACTCGAATCTGCGGGTCGTGGGTTCGAATCCCCGTCACACCAAACATGCTTTCAGTCGTGGAGGCGTTATAATGTGACGATCAATCCCATTATTCGTTGGTAAAAGAACGGTTGGCGGTAGGTGGTGATGACTAGTTGCCTTCCCTCTAGTCTTACACTACTAAATTAGGAACGGCTAGCGCAGATAGCCCTAGCGTAACTTTGCGCGAAATTCATAACAAACTGAACTAAACGTGCATAATCGAGACGTCGGGGAATAAACTTCAATTTATACCTTCACTCAATGTTGCTTTAGTGCATTTTTGACATATCTGTTTATTTATTTGCCAGATTAGAGATTTACACCTTTATATTTTTGACATACCTGTTTATTGATTCCCGGATTAGAGGTTTATACCTTCACTTAACCCTATAGTTACGGGTAATGGTCACAGGACGTGTCATCATCTTTGTAGTCTCACATTCAAAATTTTATTAAACTACTATGTTATGAATGTATGGCAATAAGTTTGGCATTAACATGTAGATTATAATTGAAATTTTAGTGTTATATATCAATCAATTTCTTAATTTAAAAAATGAATATAAAAAAAAATTCCTAAATATCGATTCTTGTGTGTCACGTGGTATGTTGAATGCAGCTTTGGTTTATAGTTTGTTTTTGTTTTGGAAGTAGAAACTCAAATTACCGATATTGACAAGCTAGAATGTAAAATAAGAACCTATTATATTTTCTATTTACTGAGATATCACTATATTTAGTAAATCAAACACAGTGGCTCCGCCCACCACTTCCATTTTGGGAAATATTTGTTTACGTACATCCACTTCATTGTATTACGTGCTTATAACCAATCGAAAGACTGAATTTATTTGTAAATATTAATAATATATATATATGTAATGCATTATAACCGAAATGTGATTGTATTTTACAAAATATTAGTCCATTAGATCAAAGTTAAGACAGTTGCACTTCGTAAAGGATGGTTTTAACTGTGCCACTATTTTAATCATTCTTTATAAACTTAATATTTTGTAATTTTCCATGAACGTGCTCTTTCTTACTGCTGGGTCTTTTATAAATATTTTCTTAGCCAGTTAACAAAAAACATATTGTCATTACTTTATATATTCGTTATTAACATTAGTTTTAGTATTTTGTATATTACCGATCTATCATTTGTTGTTGGTGTGTTGACCAAACTGTTGTTAAGGAATAGTACCGAATTGCATTTGATTTATTTATGAGGTTCATTTTTGAGGGATACCCTACAAAATTTATCCCGGGTCCCCCAAGTCTTTAATTCAGCCTTATCAATTACAGTTTAGTAAACAGATTGTATATTTTGACCAGCTATTTATCAGAACATATCATTACTGTTTGCCAGACACACACAAAAAGACGATTGTTGTTAAACTTTGAATATTGTTTGATTTTATTATATTTGATTTCAGTTTCACGTTACAAATCATTAACTTTCATGTACTATTCCCCATTTTTATTGCAACGTTGATTTGTGAAGTTCGGTATTTCTACCTTCAGCAAACACAAATTGAATTATTTTGTTTCTAGTTCCTTCGCGAAAATGTGAAACAAACAACAAATATGTTCTTGTAGGCTCGAATCGCGAACCTAGATGTTACAAAACGACCGAATCAAACAGTTGCAGCGTTAATTGGTAATATTTATAAAGATCAAAGCACCAACAAGAATGTTATGTTGTCTTTACTTCTACGAAACTGCGATGATCTCCCAGTGGCTCAGCGGTAAGTGCTTAGAATGCTAAAAGTCAGTGATATCTCTGTATTGGGCAGAGCACAGATAGCCCTTTATGGCAAAGCAAACGCCAAAAATACTATGCGATGTGGAAAGTTCTAAAATATACAAAACATGTTTTATGCTTCTTTATTTCGACACTCGTGCTGATAAATTTGGATATCACAGATAAAGTGTGAGTGTATAAAAAATAACATTATCTTTAAATGCACATATTATTTTGTTACATAAACAAGACCCTAATATTAAAGCGATTACGCAACCGGACATTTTAAAAATAATTTCATGTTTCTTAATTGTTTTTTCCTTTTTATTACATTCTAGGTGAAGTAAAAGTTATGTTTGTTAATTGTATTTTTTACATTACAATCAAGTAAAAGTTATGTTTGTTAATTGTATTTTTTACATTACAATCAAGTAAAAGTTACGTTTGTTAATTGTATTTTTTACATTACGATCAAGTAAAAGTTATGTTTGTTAATTGTATTTTCTTTTCTTATCTTTCATTTTTTTGCATTCTAGATCAAATAAAAGTTCTCTTTATTAATTATTTTCTTACCTTTCTTTTTTATCTAATAAGCCAAGTAGAAGTTTCGTTTGTTTATTGTCGTTTCTTACTTTTTTCACATACTAGGATAAGTTATTAATTGATTTTTCTTTTTACATATACTGGGTGAAATATAAATTTATTTTGTTAATTATCTTTTATTTTCTTTCGTTTTATTTTTTCTTTTACATTTAAGATCAAGGAGAAGTCCTATTTATTACTTGCCATTGTGTTTTAATTATTTCATACTTCGTATTAAATTCGCTCACTTTCAAAAAATCCGCGCATTCTTGATATTTGCCAAATTATTCGTCTGCATGAGGTGTAATATATAAGAAGCGTGTAACTAACTACCTTGTAGAATGACATAAAAACGAGCAAATACTTTTCATGGTGATAAAAAAAGTTTGTAACTACCTTATAGAATGAAATAAAAAATTGCATAACTACTTTTCAAAATGATAAGAAGTTTGTAACTACTTTTCAGAATTAAGTTGAATCAGTATTTGTACTTTTGAAACGGGAACTTTTATAAGTTGTTAAATTAAACTTACCAGTAGACACTACGGCGTTACACAGAAAGATCTTTATAAGGATAGAGACGAAACACGAGGAAATATTATGGTACAAACCTGTGAATGAGAGATGTGTTGTATACATACAAACAGATTATAACTAACTAATATATAAAAGTTTATTAACCATTTGTTGTTTTTAATTTGAATTACTAATGGATTTATCTTTTTAAAAGTAAAGACCTTACAATATATATATATATATATTACTCTACAGAACATCTTTTTTCCTTAAATCTTGTAACACCTTCATTAATGAAAACATGCAGTGTACCAGTGAATGTTATTAACATGAAAAGTAGTGCTACATTTTCTGCAAGCAGTTTCATAACGTCTATGAACAGAATAAACTTATCAAAAACAATAGATTTCATATTTATATTTCAGAGCCCATTATTCACTTTGTGCTTTGTATATTCTAGGCTCGTCATAATGAATTTGAAAATCACTACACTTTAAATATTTACAAATATTAATATAAACAAATACACGCAAATAAAAACAGAAAAAGTAAAGACTATGACTCTTATTCAATTACCTTGACTTCTAAACTTGATCCATACATAATCACGATCAACTAATCTGCTATATATATAATATCGTATTGGCCCGATTATAGGGTGATCTCGATAATAAGGCGTTTCCATTTTCAGATACCAGGAAAAATAAAAATAATTGAGTGTCATAACGTCCTTTCTTAGGTCCGCAAAATCAAACTATAGCTGAACAGCCTGCAAATGGATTAGTTGCAAGAATTAGCGATGACCTTGAGCAAACATCTGGCGCGCAGTGTAGACCGATGCTATCTGGACATTGAGAAATGCGACAGGCTAGAGTAGAGGGAAGGGGCCTGTGGTCGGCCGCGATTATAAGGCGACCATTAATTTTACAATCTAATTATTAATCAAAATACATCGTCTCATAATCGAGCTAATACGGTATATAAAGCTATGTTTGTGTCTATTTATTCTCACCTTTCAGCCATTTGTTCCTTACGGGTTTCCACATTTCTTGATCAATCAGCACCAAATGTGACACAGTAATAGAAGATGACATGAGGAAGGTTATGAAGGAGGTGGGGTTTGACCTCCCATCTTCTATATAAATAAATGTAAATACGTGTGTGTGTTTGTGTGTGTATCTGTTCTTTATATGTTTCCACATTTCTTGATCAATCAGCACCCAACTTGACACAGTGATACAGGATGACATGAGGAAGGTCATAAAGGGGGGTTGAATCCCCATCCAGTTTCATTTTGATATAATTCTTGAAAACAAGTATGTCTTTCTTTTCAGTATTGGTACTTTTACGTAGTTTTATTCCACCTTTAATCTTTAAGAAAAAAATAAAAGCACAATTTTGCAGATGGGTACTCCAACTGGTATGTACATAAATCTCTTTATTTTGAAATATTTAATTTTTTGTGGTCACATATCGTTGCATTCTTTAATATTTTTTTAACTTACACATGCTTTTAAAAACTGAACTCTCTGATGATGAACATTCAGTATTAAGGTATTTCAAACCTGATTAGCACTCTGTATGACATGTGGGCTAAATCTCCAGACTTAGAATTGCTTATCATACAAAAGATGATCAGTCTGAAGTATTCACTCTTACCTGACTAGCAGAATTAATTGTTACTGTTACAAGTACACAAAACTGAAATTGTGAAGTGTCATATCGTGACTCAAACCTTGTATTTTCCGATCCTTAGCTTGGCCAGCTAACCACTAAACCTCTCCCGACTATTTCTTTGCTAATTCATATCTAATTGAATGTTTTATTGTTATACAAGTAAAGTGTTGTTGTTTTCTTTCGTAAAATGTGTCAGTGATGGGATATTTGAAGAATCATAGAAAATCAAGATAGTTGGTCATACAGGAAATTAGGAAATCAAAAAAGAATATGATAAAAAGTTGGCTGAAAATGTAAACAATAATAGAAATGATTTTTTCAGACACATTAAGGGTAAGAAAAATGTTAAGATGGGAGTAAGGCCTTAGTGGGATGATATCTGGTTATTATGGGATAGCTAGGTTAATAATAATGAAGTTTTAAGCAGTATTCCTCATTTTGAATCGCTGTTAGATGGAAACAAGGTAGAAGACGAAAGGCAGAAGACTTTCGAAATGCCGTCCTCTACATTTGTAGGTTTCTACAACCAGCAGTTGCTGTCCATTTGAAACTTAGATTCATTAAGAATAATTTTAACAGTGTTACAGAAGAAAAATACCTTGATGTTCTGATTGATCCGTATCTTAAGCCATCAAAGCAAATAGGAGTTTAAACTGTACCTACAGAAATATTGGATACAAGTCTAAAGAGGTTATAATGTCAATGTATAAGTCTTTGATTAGACCACACATGGAGTACTGTGTTCAGTCTTGGGTTCCTTACCTTAGAAAGGACATTGAATTGTTGGAAAGGGTTCAAGGGGAGGCTATTAGGACGATATCTTGGATGGGAAGGTTGTTATACGAGAATATGTTAAGATGTCTGAACACGTTTTCTCTTGTAAAAAAGAAGAGTTAGAGGGAATCTGATCAAGGTGTTTAAGGTAATTGATAGTGTTAATTCATCATCTTTTTTGTATTTAATGGTGAGACTGGGACACAAATACAGAGGGAATCTGATCGAGGTGTTTAAGGTAATTGATAGTGTTAATTCATCATCTTTTTTGTATTTAATGGTGAGACTGGGACACAAATACAAATTTTTGTAGGGTAGAAGTCATCTTCAGCTGAGTTTGCTTTATTTTTCTGACACGGTGATTAGCCTTTGGGACAGGTTGCCTTCAGATGTGGTAGCAATTAATTTAAAGGAGTTTAAAGGAAAGCTTGATAAATATTTGAATGATAAGGGGGTGGCTCTGAATTCTTCAGTATTTAGTTTAATTTAGTGTATAGAATGGCCTAGATGGACCAAAAGGTTCCTTGCTATTTCAATATCAGTTATTTCAACTTAACTTATATATATATATATATAATTTTTTGAAACAATTATTATGATTGAGTATCAATCCACGCCGACAATAAACCAAATTTTGAGTTGGAACGAGAATTCCCCAGAATAATAAGATTGCAGTTTGAATCTGTGAAACGTTTATTACAATATATGGTTTGGAGCCAATCCAATAAACATCACAAGTGTTTGAATATTGGTCATCCTTCTGGGATGTTTGGAATTTAGTACTATACTGTACAAGCATACAAAGATAACTGCCCTCTTTATCGAGTGCCCATATAGAGAATGTAGAGAACGAGAATAAAGTTGCTGCCCTTAATTCGGAATATTAAGGTGCCCATTGTTGCAAGATCTATTTTGGTTACAAATAGTAGAAAAAAGAAAGAGACTGAAAAAGTCTGCCCTCAGTGGCATGGTGCTCATTGTTTTCCAACATTCGTGACAATATATTTATTGTCCTTACACTATGAGCACATGTGTACACACACCACATTCGTTTATATATATATATATGCACAAGCTGAGGTACCCGTCCTTGGTCCGGGCTATGAACTTAAAATATGTGAGGTGGATGCTATGATAAATGACACAGAAATCCTAATTTTCAAACGATTTACTATAGCATAATATAAATGTATGTGTGTTTCTGTGTCTGTTATGTAACTATTCGTAAGTCACTGGGCCAATGTGAACCAAACTTTGTGGAATGATAGTTTAGAACAAAGGGTACGCTAATGGATGGTCACAACTCCTCCACCCCCATTATTGCCGTTATTGAGCATTTATTATATCTGATGTAAGTTAACATTAACTACATTTATGGATGGCATCATGTCTTTACACAAAAAAACTTGATTAAACTTCTTATAACACAAAATACCCACAGTGTGGGGAGGGCACAAAAACGTCTTATATATCTCAAAGAGTGCACTAGCACTGTACGTGGAAGAATGCAATGAAACAAAATGGCCGTCATTATTGCAATAATACATAAACTCAGCTGAAGTTTGTACTCCAATAGCCACAAAACGGCTGATATGAAGAGCTGTTTCTTGAGTTATACCCAATTCTTAATTTGGCCCGTGTTCTTTCAACTTCGGCCCGTAAGACACTTCTGTGGCCAGCGACTGTCAATTCATTAATTATGTGAAACACTGTGAAAGGACATTAAGAGCTCTGTGTTGAAAGCAGGTAACAGAAAGCACACCTACTACCACTAGTTAGGAATTTTGTGTTATTTATCATAGCATCCACCCCCACATTTTTTAAAGTTTATAACCCGGGTAAAGGATGTGTATCTCAGCTTGTAGTACATAAGTTTATAATCTGGTGCCAAGTAATGAATATTACTCTGATTAATCTGAATGGTACTTATTATTGTTGTTATTATCGATTTTAAATGCTCGCCCTTTCAGCCATGGGGGCGTTATATTGTGACGGTCAATCCCACTATTCGTTGGTAAAAGAGTAGCTCAAGAGTTGGTGGTGGATTGTGATGACTAGCTAGCCTTACACTGCTAAATTAGGGACGGCTAGCGTAGATAGCCCTCGTGTAGCTTTGCGCGAAATTCATAACAAACAAATAAAATCAAAATTCTTATGTAATAAATACATCTCAGCAACAATATCTTAACAAAAATATTAATGAATTTTATGTTATTTCTAATCCATAAACAGCGTAATCTTATAAGTAAAACACATAGATAATTATTATTATATATTATTTAACCTATTGACTGTGCTACTCTAAATGCATGCGGAATTTTTGCAAGCCATACACTATATACCTCACTTGCATTCAATTGCCGAAGGCAAACAGTACCCTATATGGTGATTCAGCAGTGAATAGGTTAATACCCTTAAAAATAACATACAAATAAAACACAACTAAATACTTATGAAATTCACAAATTATTTACATAAAATTCAAATTTGACCCAACATCAGGTATGCATATTGAACTGGACATATTATGTGATCAAATAAAACAAGCCTACTTTAATTTCAACATAATATAAACAATAATAATAGCGAGAATAGCACTTTACGTAGTCAGAATTCAATATATATATATATATATTTAAAAAGAAACCGACAAGGGAAATTTTATAGTGTTAATGTCAAATAAGTTTTATGATACAATGGTTGTGGAGATAATACAACTTATAATTAACCTGAGGGAAAAGATTATGAAAATGATGTATTAGAAATGTTAAATTTTTCACTCAAAAATATAAGAATCAACTTAATAGAGTGGAAATAGATTATTTAATTAATTTTATGCTTTACCAAAAATACGTAAATGTCAAGAAATTAGTAATGCTTGTTCTAATTTGAATAATGATTATGTACAGCTTGCTGAACCTTCTTGTTGCCCTAGTAGACCTATTGTTTCAGGACGTCAAAGTTCCACACACCATATTAGTTATTCTGTGGATGAATTGTTAAAACCGTTATTCCAAGAGTTAAAAGTCACGTATGGATGATAGTAGTTAAGATGTTAGTCTGGCGGCAGAAGTGAACAAAAATTACCTTGAAACAATTTCGACAATATCTCACTCATAAGGATACGTCATCAACACCAGGGGGCAAGTTGCTAGGTGATAAAATAGGATTACGTCGTGAACACCATAACCCAATTTCAACGATGTAGCATGAATCAATCGAATATATATATAGTAGGTAATGACAGGTTCTCGCGACATAATGCCTAAACATGCACTGCACGAGGGCATGACCATATTTCGACAAGTTAAAATATATAATCATAGTATGTGGTGATGTGACACCAGATAATTCTAGAAAGTAAAAGCCGGAAATGTTGTTGGATAGTAATTATAGGCGTGATTTTAAAAAAGAACAGTTGTATAAGTATGAAATAAAAATGAAAGTCTGTTTTATAGAGTATACTTTTAGGCAATTAAATGTGCTATAAAAACTCTTGAGAATCTCATTGCATCACACAGTGGCACAACGGTATGTCTGCGGACTTACAACGCTATAATCCGGGTGGGCAGAGCACAGATAGCCCACTGTGCTTAATTACAAACAAACACACGATGTGATGACTAAACATGCACTGCCTGAGCACATAAGCCAATTTTCAAAAGCTAGCTTTGTAAAAATGTATAAAATTAAGAAACTGTAATCTATATCATTACGACAAATAAAAATATTTTCATGAGATTTGTTTTGTTTCATCCTGTAATCTACAAACAATATTGTTATGATTTAAGAAGATTAATATAATCTACATAACGTAAATTATTCTGACAATTATCTTCATGTTTTAAAAACTTTATTATTCTTCATACAATAAGGATTTTGATTTATATTATGGCGAATGT